AAAAAAAAAACCAACAAGAGGGGAGGGTACAGTGTGGCCATGTTCACTGACAACACGTATGATATATCCAAGATGGATTATATAATGCTTGAGTTCCGACCAATCGCTCCAGAACCACTTCAACATATGGATTTATCATTGGCGGCGCGGCGCGGTAGATCCACTAAGCCAGAAAGTTGTCGCGCGTATGCCAAACTTGGCCGCAGGAAAAGACAGATCAAAGTTATCCTTTAAGGCTCAGGTTTGAAGATAAGATAGGTATCGAAACCGGTTTGTAACGCCCTGTTTTTTTCATACCTCAAATTCCTTGAATATTTTTTTTTTCTTCTAAAGTAGAAACATTTGAAAGCTCAAGGGTGCTACTCCTTTGAAACTTATCATAACCTTGAAACATAGTCTCGTATAACTCTTTGCATAATCATCATCAAACTAACATAGATAAAACTTCATCGCAATCAATGTATATGTAAATCATGCCTTGAAGATAACATACTTAGAAAATCTCATAACCATAGTCTAAAGAAGAAGATTGGAAATAACATAAAGCATATAAACACAGAAGTGATTTCATTTATCTATTTGACCACCCTCGTTATCGCTCTGTTGCCAACTCGATCATCCTGGGGGGTGGAAAACAAAATAGGGTCGAGCATTTCCACTTACTCAGTGAGGAATACTTACTACATAGACATTCAATATAATAGCATATCATATGGCATCAACATGGTACATGAATAACCTTGCATAGCCTTGTGCTCCCGACAGAAGGTTGCCCTAAAGTTAGAAGACTTCATAGATAACATGTGCTCCCAACAAATCGGAAGACTTTCATAGATAACATGTGCTCCCGACAAATGGTTTCCCACAAGTCAAAAGACTTTCATAGATAACATGTGCTCCCAACAAATGGTTGCCCACAAGTAGACTTGTCAAAACGGGCCTGGGCCCGCGGGTCGGCGGGTTGGGTTGGTATTTTATTGGCCCACCAAAGAGCGGGCCTAAAGAGGCTAGCCCGTGCGGGCCGCGGGTTTTGGCGGGGCGGTCCAGGCGGGCTGCGAGCCAGCCCGCCATAACAGGAAAAAAAAATATATGTAATGTAATTATGTAACCATGTATAATGTATTTAAATCGTGTGCACCACAACACCATTGGTCTAATTCTCTTATGTCTATATTACTATCAGTTCTTCTATGAAACCAGATGGTTGGTTCCCTTATGGAACCAACCACCAATGAGACAGTGCCACATGGGGCTGTGAATAATACATGACACTATCTCATTGGTGGTTGGTTCCATAAGGGAACCAACCATCTGGTTTCTTAGCAAAGTTGATATTACTATATCTCACTAATATATTTAATATTTTATTCTATTTAAGTCATAAAATTTGAAAATAAAAACAGATAACAAATGACAAAACAAATTAAACAATAACAATCAACAGAGAGTGAAGAGTTCGGGTATTCGTATTTCATTTTTGAACCCAGGACTGTAAACCCCAGTCTCTCAAATCTCATCTCATATTCTTTTTGCTCAGTCTTGCGGCGGGACCTCGACTCGAGTGGCGACTAGCAAGCGGTAGAACCTCAACTCGAGTGGCGACTGGCGAGCGGCGAGACCTTCAACAGTTGGATTCGAGGGGCGAGCGCAAGGGCAGAAGCAGTGTCTCCGAGCGGCCCCGACAACGATAAGGAAACTTCATTTCGGTAAAGGGTAATGATGGTTGAACCTGAACCTCTTTGATTCATTGTTCAATCTATTATATGGGGTGTATTTAGTGATTGTGAATTGAATTGGGTGACAATGAATTGAATCAATGTTGTGATTATGAATTGAAGTCTGAACTTGAAGAATGATGAGTTGATTTTGATTTGTTTTTCTCTATTTTATTTTGGAGGTGTTGAAATCATAATGGATTCATCTTCTATGGACAAATGCATTAATGTGGATGATGATAATGAAAATGAAATAACTGAGACGTCTAAAGCTAACCTAAAGTAAACTTCTGATGTAACGCCCCACTTTTATTTTACGAAAGTCAAAGGCTTTTCAAAAAGTCAACTTAAAATTTTTCGAAACCTTTTCATAAATCAGTGGCGCTACTCGAACTAAATCACATAAATAACGCAAATCATACTTGCATAAATCATAAATCGTAATTCCAATGTTTTCATAAATCCCAAGTTCATCCAACTTATTCATAAGGGAACATCTCCCAATTCAAAGTTCTCAAAAATTCCAAAGTCATAAATAAGCATAAATAAATCCAAGTTTACTAGCATGCGGAATAAACTAAATGAGGTCATTCAAAGACCAACACCACTCGTCT